TCAGTTGTTAAGTGTCTGCCTTTGGCTCAGGTCATGATCCCAGGGTCCTGGGATCGAGCCGCACATCGGGCTCCCTGCTCAGCGGGGAGCCTGCTTCTCCCTCTCCCACTCCGCCTGCTTGTGTTCCCTCTCTCTCTGTGTCTCTGTCAAATAAATAAATAAAATCTTAAAAAAAAAAAAGACTATCACTTTCTTTCCAGTGTCCAAACCCACATCTCAATACCCTTTTGTGCCAATATATACTGAAGGTTAGAAGTAAGACGAGAAATATAGCCCCAGAATCCCAGGTTACAAGACCTAGTACACTTGACCCTTGAACAACAGACTTGAACTGTGTTCATCTACTTATACACGGATTTGTTTCAATAAATATAGTATAGTACTAAGTGTATTTTTTCTCTCTTTTGATTTTTTTTTTTAAGTTGGCTTGAACATGAGGCTTGAACTCACGACACTGAGATCAAGACCTGAGCTGAGATCAAGAGTCAGACTCCTAACCGACTGAGCCACCCAGGCTCCCCTTCCTCTTGATTTTCTCAGTAACACTTTCTTTTCTTTAGCTTACTTTATAGTAGAATGCTGTATAAAATACATGTAACACAAAATATGTGTTGTTTATGTTATCAGTAAGGCTTCTGATCAACAGAAGGCTATTAGTAGTTAAGTTTTTTTTTTTTAAGATTTTATTTATTTTTTGACAGAGAGAGAGACAGTGAGAGAGGGAACACAAGCAGGGGGAGTGGGAGAGGGAGAAGCAGGCTCCCCACTGAGCAGGGAGTCCGGTGCAAGTTTCGATCCCAGGACCCTTGGATCATGACCTGAGCCGAAGGCAGATGCCTAATGACTGAGCCACCCAGGTGCCCCAGTTGTTAAGTTTTTAGGGAGCCAACAGTTATACATGGATTTTTGACTGTGCAAGGGGTCATCGATAACCCCCGTGTTATTCAAAGGCCAACTGTGTATCTGTAATTGACCACAGTTTTGTCAGCTGAATTTGCAGTGATGTCTCTTAATGACAGTCATACAGATACCAGAGTACCTACTACAGGTAGAAACAATAATACATGATGCATTGGCCCCCATTCTTAAGAAGAGGCTTACAGTCTAGATGAGGAGGCAAATAGACGCTGCATAGGGGACTCTTCCATTTCTCTTCCTAACAGAGTAGGAGAACAGAAGTGAGACTGTGGGAACATAGGAAGGAATTTCCTTCTCTTCTGCCCTGTCTTCTTAATGGCTTCCTTCAGAAGGAAGAATTTGTTAATTGGATTGGTCAGAACCCAGGACATCAATGAATTCACATTTTACGTGGCTGGGGTCACTTTGGGTTGAAAGGTCACATGGCCCTGTGTGCTGCCTAGCTCCCCATTTCCTGCTAAGTAGGCCCAGCTCAGTCTCTAGCACACACTTAGAGGAGTAAAGCTGGTCTGCTTCGCAGATCTGATCATCTGCTCCCCCCTTTCTTTCTGCAGGCATGCCCACGCATCCTGGCCCCAAAATGTAGAGGGTGGAAAGGGAACAGGGAATTAGGAAGCTTCACCGCAACAGCCTTAAACCTATGCCATGCCATTCAACCTCGTCTTCTGGCAGAGTTCTATTCTAGAGGTTATTGGGTGCTAGCTCAGCTATGAATAAAATGATCCTTTGGTTTCAATTCCAATTTCTTTCTTGTATATAGTCCCCTTGGGAACCCTCAGGAGAGGAGAGACGATTAGCAGAGCAGGATTGGACTATTTCTGGTCCCTGAGTGTGGCAGACTATATTGTTGGTCACAGTTTTTCACAAATGTTTGCTGTCCTTCCCTGTGGATCTCAGAGTTGGCCAGATGAACTTGTTCTGACCAAGAAAATGTATCAGTTCCAGGTAGAAGTATAAAAAGCCAGTGTGTTATTCACCATGATCACTTTTCTTTTTCATGAGACCAACATTGTCCCAGATAAGGGTCAATTGATAAGCCTGGGTCCCAGCATGAAGACAAACTAGAATATAGCCAAGGTGACCTGCCATGAACATGTAGGGTATTTTAAGAAAAACAAAACAAAACACAAAACTTGGTTGTAATAAGCCACTTTGAGATCATTCGTTACCATGGCCTAACCTAGCTGACATGTTTACCCTATTACTGTCTGTATTAAACTCTGTTGCTTGTCCTAACATCTTTTCTCCCTTCCTTTCTCCTAAGAAAACCCTCATTTTGCCCAGGTTATTCACCTAACTCTACGTGTGCTTAGGGGAAAGGATTCTAATTCCCAGCCACAGGGGCGAATCATGATTTAAGCCATTCATGATAGTTTCTTCCTTCTTGATGGCGACTGGTTTAGATGTGGGCCTATGAGACTGTGGGAAGTTGGCTTGAGGGCTTCCAAGACAAGTTTTCTGTGCTAATATAAAGGGACACATGGGAAGAAACAGTCTCTCTACTTCTGCCAGACATTATGTAGATGCATGTGTTAGGTGGAATTGTGGCAACCGTTTTGTAACTATGAGGGACACTAACCGAAGAATGTCAGAGTGAAAAGATGGAGAGAATCTGGGTCCCCTGATAGTGTTATTTAGCCGTTAAATGAACTAACTCTAAAGCTGAGCTACCTCTAAATTTCTTGCTATGTGAGATAATATATTTTCCTTATTGTTTAAGACAGTAGAATCTGGAATGGAGGGGAAAAGAATGAGTTTAGTTTTAGGGACATTGAGGTGATGGCAGGACAGCATCCTTTTACATAGCTGAAGCTCAAGAGATGTCAAGATTAAATCTGAATTTGGGAGTCATCTATGGAGAAATATTATATACCAATACATCCGGGAAAATAATCCTATACCTGAGCCATATCTCTGTGCTTGAGGAATTTTGGTAATATAACATTACACCTAAACAAGTGTAGCCATCTCCTAACTGGATATGCCACTGTCCCAGGTCCTCACCTGTCACCCATCCTAGGAAAGGGAGACCACAGGGGTGGTAGGAACCTGCTAGCAGGGAAAGCAAAGACAGTGAGGAAGTGATGACACCATCTGGGTCCTCAGACCCTGCTCTCCTCAAGCCTAGATATGCACATGCATCTGCATATGACTTAAGGTTCTAATCTTGCATAGATGACTATGAACATGGATTATAAGCAACTTCTAAATTTACTGACTCTTATATAGCTGTTAGAAACAATTGTTCCAGCAGACTATGGTTCAACATCTCTTAGACATCCTATGTGTGATACTGCAAAAGCCCCATAGGAAGCACCAGAGTCAACAAAATGAACACCATGAAATATCAAGGAAATGGTCAATGTAGAGGATAGAGTCTCTAGTGCCCAAGCTGATCTGTGGTTAGAAGATAGTTTAGGGGGCGCCTGGGCAGCTTGGTCAGTTGAGCGCCAGGATCTTGATTTTACTTCAGGTCACAACCTCTGGGTTGTGGGCCACCCCCCCCCACCTCCACGGGCTCCACACTCAGTGTGTAGTCTGCTTGAGATTCTTTCCCTCCCCCTCTGCTCCTCCCTACACTCACGCGCTCTCTCTCTCTAAAATAAACACAATCTTTTTTTTTTTTTAAGATTTTATTTATTTATGACAGAGAGAGAGCACAAGCAGGGGGAGCTGCAGGGGAAGAGGGAGAAGCAAACACCACGCTGAGCCTGATGTGGGGCTAGATCTCAGGACCCTGAGATCATGTCCTGAGCTGAAAGCAGACACTTAACTGACTGAACCACCCAGGCACCCCTAAAATAAATAAATAAAATCTTAAAAGAAAAAAAAAAGATAGTTTTGGAAGTTACTAATCCATAGCGCACTAGTTTACTGATACTTTAAGAAAATACAATTGGGGGGGTTTCTATTGCAACACAAAAGGATTTACCTAACATTGCTTGAAAAAGAATTAATTTTTGAAATTCTGTTTAGATATAACTTCTCCAAAGGCATATCCAGTAGGTAAGTGCACACATCTGCATAATATTTACAGGGAAGCCTATACTTTACCTGAGACATCTTAAAATGGGTTTCTAAGTAGTCACTGCTGGGTCTGCATTGAAATTACTCTTACTTCCCTAAGCCAAAAAAAAAAGAAAGAAAGAAAAGAAAGAAAGAAAGAAAAAGACTTAATGAGCTGGAAGGGCAAACGCAATCTTCAAAAATGGCTAACTTCAGTCTTGCAGTTATTTAAAAAGGATCTGGCTTCAAACATTGTTTGCAGGCAGAATTTGCAATTGGCTAGGACCAAAGACGGTATTTAAAGATGACTCAGTTGTACGGCCTGGCGCGGGGGAGGGGGGGGGAGCGAAGACCAGCCAGTAGTCCTTCTAAAAGGAGTCTTATACCCGTTTTCATCACATTGAGGTTCTGAGGCCCAGAAGCGCCGCAAACTAGGAGGTGCTGTCCAGTGTAAATACGCCGAGATCCGAGACCCTGAGAAATGCACCTTCAAATTATCCGAATGCGAGGCAGCTAAAACCCAACTCCCCTCAACCCCCAGCTCCAGGCCAGGATTTCCGCAGAGAATTCCGAGGCCAGGGTCCAACTGGGGGCCTAGCCGGGTGACCTTCGCCAGGCCCCAGAATCCCCCTTGGGGACGTCCCTGAGGCCCTACTCCGGACTCTGCTGGGGCTCACCGGTGCCCTCGGCCCCGAATGCTCGCGACCGCCTTTGGGACGCATTCCGCTGCGCATCGTTAGTCGGGGAGCCGGGACAGCCTCTCCGCCCCGCGGGACACCGCCCCGGCCGCTCCCCCCGCCCCACCCCGGCCCGCGGCGCCACGCCCACCGGGGAGGGGAGGGGGTCCCGGGCGGGTCGGGGATGCCCTCCTGCGGCCGCGCGCCGGGGCCCCGAGCCCCGCCCGCCGCCCCTCCCCCG